TACATCGAAACAGGTAAATGTTTTCTGTTAGAGAAGTGCACTATTCTTTTTTCTCATAATTCATCTTAGTTTAGAAGCTTGTACAATACTTTGAAAAGTTGCAAATATGCATTACATTTATGTCTTTTTTTCAGAACTTCTTTACATTCTTTGTTTTGGAACAAGAACATGTTGGGTTTTGGAGGTAGTGACTGGTACACAATGTAACTTGCATGCAGAAGATCCTTGGATCCAACATTATTGTCAGTTTTTGGTACTGTCTGTTTTATTCAATTCTTCCATCTCAAAATTGACATGAATCATGAGACAATGAAATATTTTTCATGAAGTATCAGGAAAATAATATTTTTCAGGATCCGTGCTTGTTCAGCATGATGCATGACTGTATAAAACCTCAAATGACTAAATGCAATGAAGTTTTATTGGGCAATCAGACGCATAATTTCGGTATAGAAGACACAGCTAATCATATGATAAGGCTACATTGTGTTCTTGTTTTTGCATGCTCCTAGCTTCTTATCCTCACATTTTTTTTTCATTTCCATAACAGACTACTATTTTCTTACTGAAGTGTGGTTTTTGTTTTTCAGTTACAAAAGATGTCCGTTCATCGTCGATTTTATACAGCCCTTGCATTACATGACCTAGTTAATGAAGTTCCTTTGCCTGCTGTTGCAAAGAAGTTTGGTTGCTCAAGAGGCATGTTACAGTCTCTACAGCAGTCTGCCGCTACTTTTGCAGGTAGTAACTATATTAATTTTGACAATAAAATAAATATATACAAACTTTATTGCACTATATATTATAATGTTTATCTGTATTTCTTAGTTCATTGTCTTAATTTACCAACATGAAGTTGATATTCAAATTCCCTGAAATTTTATTTTACCACAGTCTTTCACTTAATTGAGTAATATATTGCTAACTTCAGTTCCTTTGTGATCTGGACACTTGTCCACCACCATTTTGCTTCGAACACCACATACTTCATAGAGCTTGGTGAGTAATATTATGTCTTTGACCATTGAATAAAATCAGTGTGATAGTCTCTCATTTTAGCTTTCATCCTTGAATATGGTGTTTGTTAGGTTGGATGATTTCTTGAATGGCTGTTATGTTGGACAGACTTCACTCAGTGTTAGGTTTTTTTTCTTTTTGAGAGTCCTCATAATCTTAAAATATAAAATTTCAAAAAATGTACATTAATAAAAATTGACACTGCTTTAGTCTGATGTCTGTTTCAATATAATGACACTGTTTTGAACTGCATCATGTAGGTATGGTAACAGCATTTTGCCGACGTCTTGGATGGTCTAGTGTGGAACTCCTAGTGTCACAATTCCAAGATCGCCTCCAATTTGGTGTTCAGCGTGAACTGTGTGACCTGATGAGGCTTGATGGGTTGAATGGACTGAGGGCACGAGCTTTGTTTGATGCAGGCATCTGTACACTTGCTGATCTTGCAGTTGCAGATGTGTGTGCTGTGGAAAATGCTCTCCATAAAGCTGTGCCCTTCCAGAGGTCAGTATTTTGTTTTTCAGTACAGATTACAATCATCTGTTTATTTTCTTGAAAGTTATTCTTATGAGTTTTAACTATCTTGTGCTGAAAAATATAACAAGGTACTACTTTAAAGGCGTAGCTCAGTCAGTATAGCGACTGGTTACGGACTGGACAACCGGGGTTTGATCCCTGATGGATGATTCTCAACAGAGAGAGGCTAATAGTGTATGAAATGTGACTTTTTTTCTGTTGCAGTTGCAAAGAATTGGATGGGGAAACATCTTTTGACACAAACCAGCGCAAAAAGTTAAGAAATGTGTGGATTACAGGACATCAAGGACTAACTGAAAGGGAGGCTGCATCCTTGTTAATATCTGATGCCCGTTCCTTTCTTCAGAAAGAATTGGGCTTATCTACTGCTAAATGGGTTGATGAAAAAAGTGATACATCAGGTCATGACAACCAATCTCTATCAGAACAAAGTATGCAGAGCTCACAAGAACAATCTCTACTTCATGATAAAACTTCCAAGCATTCTGAACAAACAGCCAACTGTTCATCCATTTCATGTCACTTTCAGGCACATTCATTATTGCGAGAAGAACAACTTCAGTCAAAAACATCTCTTTCTGAAACAAATAAGAGACCTGCAAAACATAAAAGGAAGAATTCACTGCCAAGAAATAAAATTCCAGATTTAAACAATGGAATTGGAAAAACAGATTCTAAATGTCTGTTGTCAGAAGTAAGCGATGAGGATTATGTTTCATCTTCACCATCATTAAACAGCAGTCAGGACAAGTCTTCACAAAGGCATATAAGTCAAAAGCTTCGTTCTAAGTTAGGCAAAGCCATGAATTCTAAAATGATTTCTTGGAGAATTTCCCAGAATACGTCTGCTAAGATAAACACTGGTAATTCCCAAAAAAATATATCGTGTAAGATATCTGACATCAATGCAAGTAAACCACATAAAGCTGTACCTATCTTTACAGAGCAGTTCCAATGTAATAAAATAGACAACACTCATTCCAAAAGGGTTGATTGTTCACCATCAGAAGAAAGGAGATTCTCACCCATGCTCCATGAAACATCGGATGATCTGCCTGGTACTCATTCAGAGAATAATAAGTCTTCCAGTGAAGTAAATCAGAGTATAGATTATTTTGGTTCCCTGCTTGAAATATCAGAAAGTAAGCTGCATGAACAAACTCAACAGTTTAAACAAAATAATAAGTCAGAGGTTAGGAATGAATCATCTCCAGAAAATGTAAGTGAAAAAGTAGCCATTATTTCAAATGTAGTCAACAATAGAGAGTTATGTCTAAGGCCTTTTGTATCTTCCTTTAAAATAACCGATAATACAGTGAATAAAAATAATGAACAATTTACAAATGTACATGGTACCAATGTTTGTTTATCAGATGATCAAGGGAATGAACTCTTAGAAAAAGATGCTGTTAATGTTGATCAGATGATACTTAAACAGAATATTAACCCATCATTAGGTCCTGTGTTTGAAAAGTTGGTAGAAAAAGATAAAGTTACCCTAACAAGGGCAGATAACAAGAGAAGGAGTTCAGATTTCTTCTCATCACCTGTATCAGGAGGAAAGATTGCCCTTGATGTTGAAGGTGACATCCGAAGTCCAAGTTTGTTTGGGGACAGTCTCGTGATGGACACACAACTTAACAACTTGTTGGATGTATGCTACTGTGAACATCAAACAACAACAGAAGGAGACTATATGAATCAAGCACAAGACTGTAATCAAGTGTCATTTTCTAACCAAATCCAACAGGCACCACAAAGCATAAATGATCAGTGCTTATCTTCAATGTGTAGCAGTGGCATCATTTTCAGTAAGGATGGATGTGTTAAAAGTGGAATGGAATGCCATAAAGTTGAAGAAGAAGACTCTCCATTTAAGAAAGTAAAACAATTACACAGCTTATCAAAAGGTTTCATGTCTGCTCGGGAAGTTATGAAGGGGCAAATATTAAACAAAACTACTAATTCTTCAGAATATCATCCAGAAGTTGAAGATTTGGAATTCTCTGCAGCTTCAAATATTGTCAGAGACTCAATAGGAAGAAAAGGAATAATCCTTCATTTATCAACAGATACTGAAGTTTCAGGCCCTCATAGGGTTTATTCTGAGGAAATAGATTTTCATTCTCTTAATGAACAGACTGCTGTATCACATATTAAATCCGATTTCAAAACAAAAAAGGGTTTGGTGTCACCAGTTACCTATCATTTTAATGAAAAATTACAAGAAGACTTCCATAAAAGTAATAGACCTTCAAAAGAAACTCTGAGAAAAAAACGAAAAATATCTACATCTAGTGATTACAGTTATTCTGAACATGAATTCATTAATAGGAAAAGGAAAAAAATTTCCAGTGAATATAAATTTGTAGCTGACGAACATGAAACGAACTGTGCAGAAATGGTATTTTCAGTTCTGAATGAAAGTTTTAATGCAGAGCACTGGCTTAATACAAAGAATACGAGTACATCTGAAGCTAATAAAAATTTTCCACCAGAGGGACAGTGTCCTGATGAAAATGAACACTTTCCAACTGAAAGCCAGGGAGCAATTCATGTGCCTGAACAAAATATTTACACTGAAAAGCAGATGGTAAGAGAGAAACCAAATGCAGAAGTTGATCACATTACAGAATCCTTCCTCAGAACAGCCTTTGACACATACTGGGATTTGGATACTGAAAATTCAAAAACGAAAAGGGATGGTGAACTTCAACATGACTTGGGAGCACAGGAAGTTAGCATTAGTACAAGTAAAACCAATCTGTTACAAAAACATGCACTCGTTCCTCCAAGTGTGTTCAACATTACACAGAAATCTAATAAGCCAGAGACTGAAAATGAGGTGATATCAGCAGATAGTGCTTCATCCAGTCAAAGATGTAGAATTATGACAAAAGCAGGAAGTAAAGTTGATCAGTCTCCTTTTGTTATTAGCAACTCACTTTTTGAAGCTGCTTTCAGTACATGCTGGGAAGAAAACCCTGAGTATAAGGAAATAAAGAGGGAAATAGCTCATAGCAAACAAAATGTAAGCAGTAATGCTGGATGTAATTTATCAGTAAAAGATGCTGATATTCATAATAATCTTAGACACCAAGAGCTTCATTTTGACAATAGGGGAAGTGAGGGACAATCATCTAGTAAGACAGAGATGATTGGATGTGGCAGAAGAAGATCTCCAAGACTTATGGCAGGGGGCC